ATCATGCTATGATTTTGGCTGCCGGATTAAAGGATGTTTTCAGGGAGGCACCAAGAAATGAGGCGCAGGCTACCTCTCCACTCTTGCTGCCAGTTTCTAGCATGGCCCCAAAAAACCAGATTCAAACATGAGAAGCATCCCTGCTTCCTGAATATCCTGAGCATAACACRGACAGCCGTAAGCTGTGTCTGTTCGTGAGAACACGGAAATGCTGCTTTTTGTTCTGAAAGCCTTTGCCCTTGAATACAAGTACACTCTGCTCCCCTTTTGCTCCACAGTTAGCAGAGACATGCCTGTGGAATGACTTCCCCAGTATTTACGTATTTATGCGCTGTCCTTTATTAGTCAGTGTTTCTGTCTCCAGCCTGTAACCTTTGGTCAGGTCTGGGATCTGGCTGGACTTTCTACAGTTGTGCTGGAAGACAGATTTCTCCTGGCAGTTCAAAACACTGTGGGGCAGGGTAGGGAGGGTTTTTATCTCTAACCTCTTGCGTGCCCAGCTTCTGCTTGCAACAGCACCTCTTGACTTCATAGGCCGAGCGCTGCAGAGGAGGATTTCAGGGGGCTGCAGTATCACAGGTGACAGAGCACTGACAGGGCCATCTGCTTTGGGGAAGATGCCAAAAGGGTAAATCCTGCTACTGCTGGACAGGCACAGCCTGCTGAGTGAGGGACAGCATGCCACAGGGCAGGAGCAAACAAAGGAACAGAAGTGAGGACTTCCTGAGCTGACACTGACACTTAGAGAAAAGCCTGGCCCACCTTCACCTTCCCAAGTTCATCTAGATGGTTGAGAAGCAACCCATTTKGTAAATTGAGGGTTTTTATTCCCTGAGCCCCATGCTCCTGCTTCACTGGGAAGTAGCTGATATAGCTTATAAAACCAAAATTCAAAAAATGAAAAGTTGTTTTGTCTTTYACAAGAGCAGGGGCTGTATAGAAGCCTTTCACAGCCCCAAAAGTTTTTGAAAGGCCCTGAGAGGAATTATTGTAAGATTTGGATCCATAGCAAAGAACAAACCTCATCCAAACACTCCCACTGACTGTGGCCAGGCTTGGACTGGACCCATATGTGAAACATAAGCAAAATATCCTGAGTCCTTCACAATATAATGGATTACAACAAGAGTGTTTTTTATTTATAAAAAAATAGGCTTATAACATAAGGACATTGCTATGTCCAAGGCCTTCCTTTACCCCTCTCCAAACATTCAGGGCAAAAGGCAAAGAGACTGTTCTCACACATATGGATACATCACCTYCTCAGCAAGCACATCCACAAATTTATTTCCCCAGCATAAAACTAAAACAAGCAGAGAAATATTTTTCTTCCAGTGTTTGCCTTTCTATTTATTTTCTGTTGCTACCTTTGTGCCTGCAGCAATGTCAATGCTCCTGAGCCCCAGGACTCATTGGTTTTGCATCTGCTGCCTTTCAAACCCCAGAGGATGGCACTAGAGCAGATCTCCCTCTGCAGCTGGCAGGCAGGGGACTGTTCCAGASCTGGAGTGAACAGGCAGAATGTTGGAACATAAATAGGGACTCMCAGTGGGACAGAGATTAGAGTTGAGATGGGACATACCAGCTCGGTTGTACTTTCAGCAGATTTTTAAGGAACTGGAGCCTTAAGTTACCTCTTTAAGAGTTGAGGTATTGTTATTAATATTATTCCAAGTTTCTATTATTATTTTTATTTCTCTGTTGGCTTCTAGATTGTTCACAGAAGGCAAATACTGAAAAGTCGCTGTCAGATTCATGTTCATTTCTGAAGGTGAGCAAATAACTGCAGGGATTTATTGACCCAGTTTCAAGCAGAAAAAAATATATAATCAAATTACTGGGGGAAAAAATACCCAAGTGTAATTGCACGTATCTAACCAAAGCAGTCTCAGAGTCTTGTCATTCAGAACTTCACTCTTGTTTCCTCACTGCTTGGGAGTATCACTCTCTGTGTTGAAAAGTGACAACCTCTTCCTGCAAAGATCAGGGACTTTAAATTTTGGCACATTCTGGGCACTATAAGAACCATAAATAACAACTTACTGAATGAATCTCAATTCACTAGGTATGACTTTCCCAAACTTGTATAATGTGTGAAATCATTTATTGCTGGGAGACCCATTAAACAGGCAGCCACAAAAGCCCACTGCATCTTAYTGTTTGAGGCCTAAACCTCAACATCATTTATTTCTAAGCTAGTTTTTGGGTACAAACAGATATCAAACCCTTATAAAATCATTTTAATTTCCTGCTCTCATTCTTTGTGCACAGAATGGACCTGTAAGATATTTCACTTCTTTTTTTTTTCCACATTACTGGTAAACTCCATTTTCAGCCAGGATGCCCATAAACAAAGGCTCATGTCAAAGGCAAAGTTTCCAAGACAGTTATTAGCTTAAAGCCAGAGTGTTTCATTTTAGACTTCATTTCCATTTAAACCATGAAAATCTCAGTAAGTATTGAATTTAAATCCACTGTCACTTTCTCCAGGCTCTTGTCAAAGGACTTGTTATTAGTTTCTGTTTTACAGTACCTCCTAGATCCCCACGCCGAGAGGGACCACACTGCATAAAGTGGAGTCTGCATCCCAGAGTGTTTGGGACCCCAGACAGAGCAGACAAAATATAAGAAAGAAGTGCTATGTTTCCAGCATATGACACTCAGCAAGTCAGAGGGTTCAGAAGGATAGCTCAAGAATCACAAATCTGAATCCAGAACCTATTCTACCATCTCAGATTTTGTCATCCTCTGATCAAATGAAACTGAGTATATACACACAATAAAGGGCACATGTGGATATAGTAAAGCATATGAACACAAGCCTTTTTTGTAAGAAAGGTTCTGTCCATTCTTACAGCAGCAACCACAAAAAACCTTCCAAGCCTCTCAGATCCATCTGAATCCTCTCTTTTCTCATGTACTAATGGCCTCTGTCCCACAGCCCCTTCTCACACAGAAACAAAAGTTCACTGGAGAACAGTTTCTGAAGGAGAACACAATGTTGGGATATGTGTTCACCGAAAGGTATCTTTAGAATTTCTGTCCTGGTGCCCTATTTCTGTGTGCCAAAAGGGTGAGCAGCATGCTGCCTGTAAGCAGAACTCTCTTATTCCCTGCTCCAAGGCCTGTGGGACTAGGCAGCTCTCAAGAGAAAGGCAATTGCACAGGCAAGCTTGAACTTCCAGCCAGGGCTGCAATGTGTGTAAAACCCTGGCTGCCTGGTGAAGTCCTGGGTTACCACAGGACCTCAGTGTCAGCAACACAACTGTTTTCCATGCCAAGCTACCTTAAGCCTGTCAAAGTAGGTTTAATTGTTGATTTTCTCTGCACAGCGCCCAGAAYATGTCCAGACCATTGGCTAGGCCAGCTGTCCCAGTGAAATGCTCCAGGAAATGGCTCCTGTCTGGTCCCTCATGACTAAGGATCTCTCCCACAGCAAGCCATCCCTGCAAGACTGTGTCCACGGCTGACAGAACACTACAGAGGAGCAGTGGGGAACTCCAAAGCAGAACAACAGCTGGCAGCAGCACATCAGAGCCCTCACTTCTGCTGCACCATTTCTGTGAGTTTCCACTCAGATCACTGTGCCATTGGAAGGAATGCAGATCTGTGTCAATCTGAATTACAGTCAGACTTGTGGGTGCTGAAAGAATGGTAAAACAGAAAGAGACAGCATAAGGTAAGTAAACATGCTGTAGGAAAAGTCAGAAAGAATGCACTGACAGTATTTTCTAAAGCTACCTGCCCCAATATTCATGGTGTGATTCATATATCTGCTATTCATATATCTACTGCAGAAKCCCTAGACTAGTTACACAATTCTCATAATGGGTTTATGTGAAATTAAGTCRTCCCAAATGGTCATTCAAACCAAAGTTACTGACAAGAGAAGGGATGAAATAAAATGTTTCTGTTGTTCCAGACGCAAAAAAAAAGACTGCTAAGGAAGTAACTTTATAACCTGAGAAGGGTCTGCAGCTTTAAGAAATTTTCCCCTAAAGKTTGTAAAGCTTTTACTATGCAAAGTATTTTTGCTATTATATACACTGGCGGCACTAAGTGCAGCTATTATTTCTGGCAGTCATTCAGAGGAGGTTGGGACTGATAAAGTGTTTAACAGAGTTTGTTTGGGTAGATCCATCTGTGTTTTTAACCTCCCATACAGTCTCTGGTGTCCTTTTAAAAGATGCTGGATGTTCCTGAGTCTAATAAACTATAGACTTTATTTTTATTTGCCATTTTTCATTATCTATCATGCCACAGCAAAGAACATCTTCTTTACATTGCCCACATTTTTCTGTATGGATTATACAAGCATCTAAAAAATAGGATTTGTCTTTGCTATGGGGCAGGGGTGCAGCTTACAAAGAGCTCCCATTTCCCTGGAAAGGCCATATGGAGTTGTGGCCTGGTGCTCTCACTCCTTACACCTTGGGGTGAATTAATGCTTCAGAGGAACCTAGAGGGGAGATGCAATCAAAGGGCAGGGAAGCAAAACGTATGTTGAAAGGTTGTAGCAAGGAGCTCAAGATGGAGCTTCCAAAAGGAAATGTTTTGAGGTTATGTGAGCACCAAGAAACATATCCTAAATAGTTGAGAAGGACTGTGATAGCAATTTAACACTCCCACTGGATCGGTGTGGTAGGGCAGTAATTGAAACATACCCCCAGCAAAAAGGGAGGTTTCAGCACCCCACTTTCCCTGCCTGGCTGCACTGTATGAGCACAAGGTCAAGCACCTCAGTGACAACTCCTGCTACTCTTCGCAAGTATTCTGCGTCCAAAACCTAAAAAAAAAACATTGCTGACTGTGAAGCAGGTGAGACTTGGTATCACCATTTTACAGACAGAACAAGTAAGACAGGATATCCATGGAAGTAAAATGACATTTAAATCCTAAATGTGAGAGGATCCTCATATCTGAAAACCATTTCATAAAGCTTTTTGCATCCAGAGATAGCACTGTCCTGCACGTGTGGTTCAGGTCCCTCCACCACTTACCTGAGTTTGTCTGCTACAAAAATGACGCGGCGCTCCAGCAGGAGAGAGGCAAAGATGCGGATGATCTGCCGCACGCTGAGGCACTTGAAAAGGCATTCAAAGTCCACATGTTCCAGGCGGGAGTCCATGGGCCTGCGCAGCTCAATGACCTGGACACAGCCAACAAACACCAGTCAGCACCGTTGGCAAGGCTGGCAGTGCCGGGGTGCCTGGAATCCCAGCCCGGCCCTCCAGCACTGCCCCGTACTTGCCTGGTGAGGGGACAGAGAATGAACCCCAGCCCCGTGTGCAAACTGAGGCTGCAGGCACAGCACTCCAGAAAAATGGTGCATTGCACAATTCTTCCCAGAATACAGCTGTGTGCACTGTCTGCTGTCATTTACAAGGGAAGCATGGCATCCCTTCCAAACATTCTGTCAGAGAGGTAAAGCTCAGCTAAGTCAAGAATATGAAGCAAGTAACAATCATACATTGGAGCTGGAAGTTTATAGGGTTAAAACAACTATAAAGACAAGGCAAATTTGGTTCTAAGCTTGGGTAACAATTCATATTAACATCTAGATAGGAGCCTGGGACTCAGCTAAAAGACCAGGAAGACTTTAAATCCCATTTACTTAATTTCCACTCCTCTGTGATGTGAAATTCACTAGATAATTTTTAAAACCTTTCTCTTTTTATATAAAGATACATACATTACATATATATACTTAACTGGGGAGTCAGGACAAGGTCTTAGATGGTGAGTTGTGACATCCCTTTATAGTCTAATTTTCATACTTCATCCATGACCTCAGGCCCTCTCCTTCCTTTTCACAAACGCCTTTTCCTTGATTCCTTTATTATATCTTCCTTTTACTCTGCAACTGACATGCTCAAATGTGGAACTTGAAGGCAGAGGACAGAAAAAAGAAGAGGGAAAAATAACATGAAGAAGAGAGTAACAGAAGGAGAAAAACACGAAGCACAAGACAGCAAGTGATGGACTACTGAGGAATTTGAGGAAACAGAAGGGAAAGGGAAAAAGCTGGCCAACCTGAAGGTGTGTTGAAATCTCTGAATATACATTCTATATGTCCAAAAATCACTGTCACTTTATTGTGTTAGACCACTCTTATGACACCACACTTCACAAGGAGACTGGATCAGGTTTAAACTGGAGTAGCCTTTACAAAATTCCTCACAAATACTGTTTAAAGGATATGCTCAAGATCAAGGATACTGTAACTAAAATAAGTTCATATCAGTTTTGTTGTGATATTATTTGTGATCAGTAACATCTAACTGTAAAAAGAAAGCCTCTCTTAGAACAGTATCTTAAAACAGTRCATAGATTCGGTTTTTTTAAGCCTGAAATACAGGAACATTTTGATAAACAGACAGCCATCACTCAGCTGTTGCCTCAAACAGCAGTAAGAAACAAATTGTGGAGTGGGAGTACACCAGGAACAACTTCCCAGAAATGCTGCCTAACTCTTCCTCACAATCAGCAAAGGGCCCACTTCCATTCTCTAGCAGTGGGATTGCAAGCTGAAATCAAGGGTATGTGCCAAATCATGAGGAGCTGATTCTACTGCAAACGTTCCAATGCGAAAACCCTCGCTGCAGGGTAGGATGCAATGCAAGTTACGGCAGCTTTTAYGAATACCATGGATGTTTTCTGCTGCCTGGCAAAGTCTGCTGCCTCAGTCTGCTCATCACAAAGAAATATACTGTCTGCTTCCCAATTAATCATCATCTTTGTTTAGGCAAGAGAAGCCACAATGGAAGGACAAGATTCTGTTCCTAATTAAGCCAGTGCATTCCATTCAAATAACGAGTTTGTACTAGCACAACAGAGAGCAAAGCTCAGCYAGAAGAGAGTTGTTTGTTTGTTGGAATTATCTCAATGTTTTTCTCTGGGAGAGTTCAGAAGCTTGAGCAGAGGATAGAGAAGTTGCAGATCCATGGTTCCCAGACACATTCACACAGAAAAAGCATTGTCAGGTCTTTGCCCTGTTATGCCAATCACCCTTTMAGACACTGATTCTCCAGAGGAAAAAGGTGACTGTAAACACCTTGCAAGTCACRTACACAAGGAACCCTTTACATTTCGTACCAGCTTATGTCATACATTACAGGCCCCCTCAATYGAAGTTAGTAGTGTTACACTTAGAGAAAATATGATTAAATGCAAAAAATAATAAAGGCACTGTAAAACTAACTGTAAGGAATGTAAAATAACCCAGAAGAGGAGGGTTTCTTGCCTGCTTTCACTAACTGGGACAAATTCTATTTCTGTTTTCAGTAATGTATGCCCTGGATATGCTTGCCCATCTGAGTGGAGCTACTGTATTCCTTGAGAGGGGCATGCAGAGAACAGAATTTGACATGGTGAATGGCTRCCCAACCCCAAGCTGCAAAAGCCTTTCAATCAACACTGCCAGTAAGGCATATGTTGTCTAATGCTAGGTTTCTAGCTACTTGAGTCAGGAATAAAAGAAAATCACATCTCTTATATGTGTGCACACACAAAAATTTTAGATGACATGCTTTTCTTTGAGGGCTAGTTAAAAGGTATTTATTGCCAAAGAGAGCCATGTAAACRTTGCTGGTCACTCCGACCAAGGCCAGGACCAGCAGTAATGAGCTGCTGAACTGCTCAGGTCAGACAGCATGGGAAACTCACACTTGCCTGTTATCACTGTGATAAAGGCCAGCACTGCACTAGGCCAGACACACTGGGACATTTGTGTGGTGTGTTTTTCTCACACATAACTTATTAATAAACATTAAATAATAAATACACAACCATAAATTGGYTTATAATAATCAGTGGGAACTATCATTAACATATCTGCAGTGGTGCAGCTCCTGCACTGCTCATTTTGAGGGTGTGCCACCCCACATCCCTGCAGGATCTGTTTGTCTTTTCCTGTTTTTCTTTCGCTGTTTTTATACTGGAGTGGTAAAGGGGAAGGCTTTGACTCTTAAGGTTTGTAGTTGCCTTTTACCTCATTTCCAGCTCCAGGCAGGAAGGTTTTGACTTTGATTGTCTTTCCAGGTGCAGGAAAAGGAGATTCCATCAGACTTCTCATAAATGGATAAACCAGGGCAGCAGATATTCCCCTTCTCCTTTCAACCTCATCCAGGATCTGGTCCATTAGTAAGATATAAGTGAGAAAGAGACAGAACATGTCAGCATCACATACTTTTTTGAAGCATGCTTTCACCCACATGTGCTTATCACACATGGCAGATCTAAGTTAACTTCTCCTCTGCCAGGTATTTCTTCACTTATTTCGAATGCATATCATCTGAGTGGATCGTGCTCTAAAAATGATGTCTTTTCCGGTTACAAAATGAAGCCTGTTTGTGAATGCCAGAGGCAAGGGAGAATTAATAAACAAGAAAGAAGACTCAGCATGACTAAAGGGATCTGTATGTTGGGATTTTTGCCTGAACAAAAGGGTGAGCTAAAGAAGACAAAGATGAATTCAAATCCCATGATCACAGGCYAAGTCAGCATCACGTCTCAGTGGTACATCTTGAAATTTGTATCAAGGAAAAAGCTTTCTTCTGCACTGGGCATCTCTTCCATCTTAACTGAGAGGGCAGGAAAAAGCCAGAGCAGCAAAGAAAGCAATGCTGCCACACTGATAGCAGGACAGAGCTCCTGCAAGGGTCCCAGCAGTGGCTGTCAGGTCAGTCTGTGCTGAGCTGGAGACCACGAGCAGCTCCTGAAGCATGCCCAGCTGTTCACACTGGTGCCTGCATTAAGGCCATTTGCTCTTGGACATGACGCAGAGCAGGCAATCTAGTCTTGAAATAAGCAGATGGAACTTCTTACAGATAGAGGGGACKATTATTTTCTTCTCTCTTTGGTCACATGGGGCAACATAAATCAGATCATAGTTAAGTTTTCCCACATTAGACAGAGCATATAGATGATAAACCTAAAGAAGACAGAAAGCAAGGTTCAAAGCAGTTAGTGSTTTGACCTGCAGTGATGATCTTTTAACCACCACTCCAGAGCAAAAGGCCATACAAAAGTTGGCTGGTCTGAGCCAGGCATTTTCTCTTGTTTCTCTTGGAAATGATTTTCACTGAAACAGAACATTAAAAGACACTGAAGCAAAAGCTGGTGACCTGTAATGATAGCTAGTGACACCAAATGCCAGCAGAGGCATTCACTCGTGCATAGTTTCCCCCTCCTCCCTGTGACAACAGTGAAGGCCTAACTAAAGGCCTAAAAGCTGGCCCTGTATACATAACTTGCATTCCAGTGCACGGAAGTGGCAGATAACTGTAAATGAGGACATCAATTTTGCTCTTGACGCAATTTGCAGCACAGCCATCCTCACCAAACAGTAATAAAGCAGGGCTGTGCCCCAGGCCCCTTGGTGCTCCTGCACACTGCCAGCACGCAGTTGTGCTCCTGCAGTCACTATTGGATGCCTTATGTTGCTGGAGTTGGGATCATGTGTGTGTCATGTGCCTCCCTCAAGGACCTTCACAATGCAAATAAAAGGAGCATTTAAAGCAAATAAAAGTTGAACAGAGATCACAAGAGATAAAATGGACAGAAACATCTGTTGAAGCCATGACCAAATGAACTGACTGGAAATTAAAATATCTGTGGTTCTCAAGTTTGTCTCAGCAATAGGCATTACAACAGTAAGTAAGTATAAAAGGCTTTGTGGAAGACAAAATTAATGCAAGTTATCAGAAACAGGATAATAAACATTTTAAAACAGAGGAATCTTTTTGCTTTTGTGATAAATAATATGCAAGATTTAATACCTCACGGTCTTTCATCACTCACAGTGTAAGGTAAAGCCAGCTATTCATCGCATTAACTAATTCAGCAAAGTGCACCATCTTTTTKGGGGGTTTTTTGCCCTCTTTTACAGAATTTATCAAGGAAGGACCACCCAGGTTCCTCTTCCTAAGCTGAAAAAAGAGAGTCTCACACTTTTCAAGAACTTCTGTCTCCATCCACACCTCATCTGTCTTCAAAACCAACAGGAATGCTAAGGTTCCCGCGCTTCCTCCTTCATTTAACAAGTTCCCTTTCCAAATGCAGTGTTTGGAGCATGTGCTGTGGAGATGTGCTAAATCCAGCCCCCATGTGCTGCCATCAGGAGGTGACAGCCCTGCGCAGGACAGCACTGCTATACCCAGACTCCAGAGTGGATGGGCTCCTCCTGTRGCCCACCCATGAGCTGAGAGCAGCACAGATGTGTTACAGCTCCAGGCAGGGCYCAGTATGAAACTCAGCAGGAGCTTTCCTCCCTACACACACCGAGAACTCCAGGCGTGTGTGGCCAGGGCCTGGCTGCCACAGTGCCTGGGAACAGTCCCTGCCAGAGCCAGGAAGTTACACTCACCCATCAGCCCTGGGCTCACTTTGGCTGGATGATCACACACTTTTTCCCAGGTTACTGACTGAACTGGGAGAGCAGATTACTTGCAATTTCAGTGCAATGACCTTCCTTGTTTGACCTTATGCCTCAGCTGCAGTGATACTTGGTTGTAAGGAAGATACTTAATTTATTCTTTTTTCCTTCTCCCAAGTCTTCCTTTGAAAAATAGTGCATTGTCAAAATTAGATCAAAACATAACAGCAAACGAAGAGCCTCAGGAGATCTGTCGATACCACAAGTGTGATGAGCTGGGTTATCCTCCCAGAACAATGCACTCCATTTCACTCACAGATACCTGTTTGGATATATACTATGTCCAAGAGACACAGTTATAAACCCTTGATTTTACAGCTTTATGAAAGACAGCAGAAGCAGAAGTTCGTTTAACTATTGCAACCCAACTGAGGCTTGTGTWTTTTTATCTAGAAAAGCTTGAAACCTGCTTTAAAGATAATATTCTGTATGCATATTAGATCATATGAACAGTATAAATGCTATAATTTTTATGAACTTTAATGATTTACATGCTCTTTTCAACTTCATTCCTATGAAAATTAACAAGGAAAATCTGTGAAAACTGTGAGATTTCCCATATCTGAAGTGAAAACCTCTGGTAAATTAAAACATTATCAGTTAAAACTGGGCCATTAAAAGATCATCTGTACTTTATCCTAGACTCTTAGGGTGAAAAAAAAATGTCACTAATATTAAGTGTATAGAATTCACATATCAAGTAATCTTTCTTCTTAACGTCCTCATTCCTCAGGGTATTGGAGTAAAAGTGGTACTGGCCCATCATCCAAACTATGGATTCCAAGAATTACAGCTCAGCACAGAACAGCTTTAGAAAACAATGGAAAAAACTTAAGTCAGCCAGATCATACAGACACCCAGATGTTTTCTGAATCAATTTCTGCCTCAGTCACAGAAGTAATAAGACATTCTTTGATGAACCAAATAATAGGGATGGACTATCCAAAACAGCAACTGTAAAATAGTTACCTCTCATCAAAGGAAGGAATTCTTCCAGTCTGGTTCATCACTGCAGATGTGTCTCAGTAAACAATCAAATTAAAAAGCAATATTAAAGAACATCTCCTTACCTTGGAAAATAAGTCAAAGCACCCCAGGCGGCTGATGACACAGTAAACTTCAGGTAGGCGGGGGCCTTTTCCATTTGGCTGATAACAGCAAAAAGGAGATGAGAATTACATATTAATGTGGAGGAAATACACTTCTCTCTCTGACCACACAGTTGGCCATCATGTGACATCTCTCACTATCTGCTTCTCCAACAAATAGCTGCTCTTGGAAAAGCATCATATTTTTTCCATAAGACAGGAAACTGAAAAGCACAAATAGAGCTTACCCCCTTTGGAAATCACYGTGTGTTGGAGCTGTATCGTAATGCTCCCGCTTGCAGCCATAAAAGCACATTGAACCAGGACTGTAACTCATTCCTCTGCTGTCTCTGTCCCCTGCTCCTGCTGTAGCACGAGGAGTGAGGCCACCCTGGGGCCATGTGCTACAAGAGGAGAACTGCAATGCTAAGGGAGGCAATGATGGCTTTAGCTCCCCATTCCACACTCCATGGTGTTTTCAGAGAGCTCAACCTACAGAAAGCAAGCTCACAGCCTAAACAAAGGCAAGCTGCATGAGTAAGTCATTAACTTCCTCAGACCAACTCATGATAAACATGAAACTGACATTACTTAAACAGTAGCAATGAAACAGTATGAAACAATGATACACATCCATCTCACCCCTCTCCAAAAGAAACTGTAAAGGCCATCCTCTATAACCATCCTATATAAGACATGTCCTGGAGAAGCAAATGCKATTTCCTCAGCATACTGGGCTCTGCTACCCTGCCTATTCCACTTGTCTTTGTCTCTACTGGCACAGTGATCAACTTCCCCATGGAGTATTTCACATTCACATGCCACAGAGATGACAGTCAAGAGAAACTGAGGGGTAGCCAGTTTTAAACCTGAATGTTGCAATCTAGACTTGGACCATCAGCAGGTGCCTGCCTGTTAGAATGAAGACCACAAAAAAAATACCAAATTTAAGTGAATACAGATGAGTCTATTTCTGGATCCAAACCTGCTCACTACACATCACATCTCTGAAAAACCAGAGCCCTTTTTTTGTCCATATTAGGTATAAAATCCTTTCTAAAGGCACTGAGTGATTATATCAAGCATGTGGGATTTTGGTTAAAATCATTGTGTCAAATCTGCAGGAATGCCGAAGCCATGCCAGGAGCCTTGGACAGCTCCCAGCCAAGAGCTGTCTCACTGAGTGCCAGTAAAAACAACACATTCCTGGGTCATCTATAAGACCAGAAACAATAACTGCTTAGCGCTTATTCCAAGTTACTCCTTTATGAAATATCATTACTTTCAAATGTCCAAAAGGCCACATGTCTGTGGGAGCTGGGATTCTTCCCTCCCTACTCACTGTGTAGGACATCCTTCCATTTCCATTATTTCAGAGACCTTTTCTTGCAAACAGCACAGCCTCACACATGCACACACATCATCTGTAAGAGCAGCAAGCAAAAGGCAGGGGCAGAAACTTCTCAAGCTTATAACACTGGCAACCCTTCACACAACTTCCCCTCTCAGCCATCATTTACACGTCACAGATCTAAAACACCCATTATGCTTTAGTTTGCTTCTTTCCCAGGAAAGAATATCATACGGGACATGACACTGCTGCCTGGACTCATCTCTCTTCACTAGAGGAGATTTGAGCCCTGGGTCTGGCCACCAGTACCAGTGTGACCTCCTCTCTCCCCAAAAGAGAGCTCTTCCAAGTTGCAGGGTGTGCTCTACAGGGTAGTGACACTGTCTTGGAGACCTGTCCTCCATCCAAGGCTCACTCTTGCACACAAAGAACAGGTTCAGCTCAGGAAAACAAAATGTTAAATTAGTCCAGCTGAGAGGCACCCGAGAGACTCTGCCTTCATGCACTGCACTGCTCCTGAAAGACAAGAGATGGAGGGGATGATACTTTGGGTTTGTTTTGCTTTTCATCTGTTTTCACGGAGCCCAGGATATTTTGAGCCTTAGTCCAGTATCTCAAAATGAAAATGCTAATGAGCTTTAATGATAACAAGACAGTTCCCCAAAAGGATGAACATAAACAGACAAGAACTTGGCTGAGATGGAGAAGCTAAGATCTGCATCTGGGCTGGTCTACACATGGCTCAGGACAGTCTTTTTTATAGTGAGTTTAATCTGATTTTACTGACCAAAGCCCACTCCAAAATCTTTGGCAGGAGAAACAAGAGGCTTTTGCTCCAAAAACTAAGCCAGCTGTTTTCCTCTTTCAAATCACACCTCCCCATCCATATGCTTGGAATATAGGGGAGCCTTCAGAGATTTCCTCCCAGTCTGCCACAGCGCTGAGCTATGTGAAGGAAGTGGCCTTTGCAAAGCACATACATTAGCCAGCATATCTAGAAAGAGAGACTTTCCTTAATGATGCCAGGAATCAGAACAATTCAAACACTGGGAGGCTAAAATGAATAGTCAGTCACAAGCCAGTTTCTTTGAAGGCTCTTGATTCCTTGTTAGGACCAATCCAAATTCTGACCATGAGAAAACTGTGGGTGTTGTAAATCCAAAAGCTCTTCTTAAAGACTTCTTGTTACATGTGAAACAGGAACTTTGGGTGCCAGAGCACCCAGTGTGCACAGGGCTGTCAAAGTGCTTGGGGAAGGGTTGGATGGAAGGAAAATGGCAAGGAGAAGAAAAGGTTTTCCAATGAGCTTTTTGCAGCTCCATAAACAGTCTGCATCCCACAAAATATGCTTTCACAGAGTAATGAATTCTCTTTTCCTGCCCCAGCAAATACAGGACGTTAGGTTAGTCCCACCTAACAACTGCTTTCCATGTTTTAAGGTACTCGCTTCACATCCAGGAATCTGGTCCTCCATGGACTCCTGAAGCTGGCTTGTCTTAGGCTAGGAAAGTGGTGGARGATCAAATTTTATGTCAGAGGGAAGAGAGGGGTAGGATTAAACAGGCCCTGCAAGGCTGCCCAAATCATCTCTGCTGCTGACATGTGCACTCACTAGAAAAGCTGTTGCAGGATTGCCTTGGAGGTATCAAGATGTAACTGGAAAACTTCATGCTATCTGTGGAAATGCAGACTGTCTGCTGTGGGACAATAGGCCACATTCCATTCTAATCCTGTTCCAAAATGAAACAAAACAATATAAATACATTTAAWGGGGATACTGTAAAGGATTTGTAAAACAAACAAAATGTAATTGTCACTGTATCCCTTGAGGTAGTTTTGGCATATAAATGCCAAAAAAAGTCTGGAAGAATCTGAGATCTGAAGGCCAAAAAGTGAACAGTTTGTTCGTATCACAACACACCAAAGGAAAGCAAGGCTGACAAAACACAATTGTTTCCTAAATGCAGGAATCTGCACACCAGAYCCTGCAGAAGAACAGTCAGCCATCCTCACAGGATCAGGCTGCCTGGTCCATCCACTCATGCAGCTTTTGCCAAGCAGGCTGCCAAATGGATCAGAAGGTGTGAGACACCTCTTGCTGGGTATTACAAGAGCATCCCTCACCAGGACAGCTGGGGAACATTTTCTAAGGAATTAGCCTCACAGCAGCTGGCTTGGCTTGAAGTGGAACAATTTATAAGAATTTTAGGGGTTTTTCATGGTTCTATATTACAGTGTGGCTTCACCCTTTTCTTACATAATGTCTGCTAAAAACTACATGCAGTTCCCAAATTATGGTTACTGCATTTGACAGAACCTGCAGGTCAAGAATGGGACTAACTGAAGGAGATGCTGTGCCCTCCTGGACATCAGAGCCACCCTGGCATAAGCTTCCAAAACCTGTTCAGGAAATTGGATTCCCAAACACAAAAATCTGCTGCTGATATATAAAGAATACCTGCAGGATTTACCTGCTCCTTGTTGCCAGTACAAAATCTGTATTTTCTGCAAAGAAATATAACACACTGAGGTACCCAGCAGTGAGGCTGTCCCACCATGCACCAACGTTTGCAGGGGACATTACATTGTTACACTTCATGAGCACAGCCAAACCGTATGGAAAAGGTACTTCAGGTAACCACTCAGACTCCACCACTTCTCCCAGCAGGACAGAAGGAGGTTGCAGCACCCAAAAGTAGATCTCTGCTAATTTTGCCTTTTCCACAGGTAGAGGAAATGCTGAGATGTTTCCCTGCAGCTTCCAAAATCCTCTCTCTAAGTCCCTGTTTTGCTCTCAGAAGGCATGGCAGGACGTGCCCCAGGAAGGGCAAAGTTGTTGAAGCACACTGGCACGACTCCTTCCTCTCCTTGGCTGGGTAGGCTGTACCAGTGAGATGAGACATGCCAGCTTCTCTATGCCAGGGTCTGGTTCCAAGATTAAGCAACCTGAATTAAGTGATCACCATAGGTGGCAGCAGCCGATCTGCTTTATAACTGGCTTTGTAGTTATTAGATAGATTTAGCAAGATTTTTTTTCTTCTATTTAATTTTTGCCTTAGCCCATGCAGGATAAAAATCTCCAATGCCACTCAAAACACTATTATTTAGAAGTGTGCACTATTGATTTAGTTCTGCTCCTGGTATTTCCTAATATGCACACCCATCTTTTGCACAGCTGAAATTCAGTGTTCTATTTTTATGTTGTCCTTAATRTAGGGTGAATTTCCCTGAGCTTTAAGTGAGTAAAAAAAGCCTATGTTAATGTTTCATTGACAAACTGATTCAACATTCCTGTGTATAAATGTGTATTATTGTCTCTGGTTATTTCAGTCTCAGCATAGTCCAGGACCAACCATTTGGCATTTCACAAATGCAAGTTCTGTGCCTGATGACAAATTTACAGACATTCTCAGAAAGATAAAAATCTTAAACCACCTTTACCTGGTAGAGCAAAAACATTCCATAATTTAATTCTAGCTAACTTCTTCTGAGGTTTTGGTTTTTGTTTTTATTCCAAATATACCTTATTATCCTTTTAAATGAGAACTCATTAAAAAAAAAATGTTTTGCTGCCCAACATCTTGTTATTCTTACTTGCACCAGCAAGGATGACTTCTAGGTGCTTTCCTTGTTTATCCCCAAGTCACCCCTGACCAGCCCTAAATTTTCTGCAACACCAGCCTTCAATGACATTTCCTGCCCACACATA